TGTTTTCTTTTTATAGATTAATCTTTGTATTTAGTAAAGTTTATTTAAACACTTTTAGGTAACTGTTGTTAAACTTTTTAACTGTAGGTATTACTTATCTACAAATGATTATTTCATTTGTAGAAAATGACAAACGAAATATAGTGGTATCTTGGTACTCAAACAATTCATATTTGACACAAATTCTGGAAAAAAGTCACTTGGTACTCAATTGAACAAATGCAACACAGTAGAACAAATTTTTTTATTAATAACATATTTTTATTTCATTTTTATATATATATAAATAAAAATATGAAAATGTTGCAGATACTTCTGATTGAGATCAATAAAAAAGTTGAGATGACGATGATATTTTTTAAAAAGAAAATGCCCTCATGTAACTAAAATTAACATGTAAGATGGTTTATGCTTCTGACACAATATAGTGCTATAAATTAAGACACTTGGCGGATAATTTATAGCACTATATTGTGTCAGAAGCATAAACAAATAGCAAAGCACGGTTTCATATCATCAATGTAAGATGGTACTTTTAATTGTGGTTGTTAGTTAATTATTGATATCTTTAATCAATACATTTTTCATAGTAACAACAAAAAAGAATAGTATACTTTTGTTAACTTCTGGAAACTAAATGGTTTTGTATTAGTCATTTGTTTCATATGGCATGAATTCACATAACACAGCACTTTTTTAGAATGTAACTATCATGTTAAACAAGGAATACATATATATATGATATAGCATTATTCCATTGATTTGGTAGGAATTGAATGAAACTTTATTAGTGTGATCTTAATGACATGTAGTATTACAATGTCATTACAAATGGACAATTTCCAGTGGAACAACAGTAAAATTTGAAGGAATCTTCAGTTCCTTGGAGAGCCTCCTTTTGCCTGGCTATAGATGACAATACAGTTGATATATACAGGCATTATATGCTATCCTGCAACAATTTGCCCACAGATTTTGCAACTACTACTATGGATTTGTCATTCTTAGATGGTCAAAGCTGGTAAACCATCTGGTCCTGCAAATGCTTGATGGGTGACAGAAATATCAATAATATATCTATAGAAACTTTTTTGTATTAGCATTAGAAAATATAGTAAGTCTGCCAGCAAATGTATATTTTCATAGACAGAGTAAGTCAAAAGTACTAAAGATATACTAATTTTAATGTAGTTATACAGGAAGTCATTATGGCAAATTGGAAGGAACTTTTATTGGTTGACTTTGAAAATCATTTTTAAGGTCACTTATGTCACAACTTTTTAACTAGTTATGTAACGCTGTATCAGTGTGTAGTCGGAGCGAGGCTGCTCGCACCTTCATTTTTTAGATTATTTAAGAGGGAAAAACAATTTATTTGAGTTCTATTGTATCATTTAAAGGTACAAATATAAGGTCAGAATAAGCCATTAATTAATTGCTATGCCAACATATCATGAAATTCTGTCTATCACTATGGGCCTTGGACTTACAGATTGACTCATAGCAATCTTTATTGTAACTGTTTAAAAATACTATGTCAGTTATTTTTTTCACTCGACTGAATGCAACATAGGTAAGACCGATAGCTATCTATTTTGATTTTTGGAAGAGTTAATCCCTGTGATTTATGTATAGTCATTAAATATGCTAAGGTAAGGGGAAACTGTCTACAAGATCGCAATATACTGCCATCGTTTGAAGAGCGTGTTATGGGGATTACTGGAAACAGATTACCATAGATGAAAGGTCCCTGATAGCTATTGAATTCCACTAAAATAAACAGAGGAAGAGCTGGAGGACGAGCATTAGGAGCATATATAATGTAGTGTATAGTTCCTAGTGAACCATTGATGAGACCTCCTTGCACCCATAAGTTGACTCTCAGCATAATTCTGGCATTAACTGAGAGATTCAAATACTTGGTGAGACCAAGAGCTGAGTCATCTTTGGATGAAGGGAGGGCAATATCTGTAGTGTTTTCAGATGCTATAAAACCAACAGGGCACCCAGTTGACTGCAAGTAGTCTTCATTGCTTTGTTTAACTTGCTCATTTGTTGGATATAGCTCTACTTCCATTTGGAACTGATCAAGTTCATCTCTGGATAAATAGGCTCAATAAATAGATGCTGCCACATAGGATGTAGCCTTAGTCAGCTCATTTTTGACCTCTAATACTGAAGAAAAACACGACCTTCGTTTTGATCCCTATCTCCAGTTCTACAAAAATGGATAGTTTTTGAGAGTTGAAATTTTAATCAGTTCATTCTTGAGAGATGATGAGTCATCCTAGAAAATTTCATCAAGATTGGACAACTCATTCTGGAGTTATAATGTTTACAAGGGATGCATGAAGTCATGTGTTAATTGTTGCTCAGCTTTGCCTTGCTCCGACAATGAACAGAAGTAATGTAAAAGTTTCAATATGAAGTTAGAGCACTATTTAGTCTAAAACCTTTTTCTGGATTTTTAATCACTATTTTTTTTTAAAAAGTGAACTTCACATTCATGAGGATTAAATGTGATTTTAACTGACCTTGAAAGCCATTTTCAAGGTCAAAAATGTTCCATCCTATTCTCTGTGTATGTCTTCCTATTTAAGTACAATTAATATATCTTCAGTATTTTTGAATGAAGAGTGCAAGGGTGCACTATGAAGTGACTTCTCATTCATCCTATATATATAAGTATATTTCAAAGATAAAATCTCAATGGTTTTTTTAATATATGAATTTTGTTTTTAACATTTCAGATACATTGTAAATTTATGGTTAGATTGAGAATTGACTGAATATACAGTAGAGCGTTGATTTTCCGAATCAATTGGGGACTGGGGTTGTTCGTATAACTGATATTTCGGATAACCGATTTACGTACGAAAAAATAGTTTAACGTATCCGATGTTGAAATTTTTCTTCGTTGCGTGTTGCTTCGCGTTGAATTTTCGTCGATGTTAAGCCTAACGAAGACTATTGTATCGTTAAAAATTATTTTTTTATTTTGTACAAACAAAATAAATATATTGAAAAATATAAAAACAATAAAAAATTATACTTCAGATGTTAATTTAGTATCAAAAACGTAAAATATTTGAGTAGCCCAAGACATAGCCAAAGATTGAAGCGCCACAGCACTGGCAAAAATTTAAATTTGCCGACTGGAATTCTTTCGGATGATTGACTTTCAGAAAATCGACGCTCTACTGTATAAGATATTAAGTTAGACAAAAAATATCTTAAATAATTCTGCTTGTAATTATTTTAGATAAATTAAACAACAAATTTTTAAAAACAACAGATATGTTGTTTTTAAAAATTTGTTGTTCAATTTATGAGTTATATAAACAAATACATATTGTCATTTATATTCATTTCTTTCATTGATAATATACATTTAGCTTTGTTATTAAGCAGATTTTAATTACTTATTTAATTAAATATATATATGCATGCAGAGTTCTCAAATTATGTATTTGAAATGCGTGATTTTAAAATAATTCAATAGAAAATCATTACACATTGCTCAAAATTCATTCACAATTCAAAATTATTGCATGGAATGGATTTTCTTTTGCCATTAGTGGTAACATTTACATACGATAATCATTTTGCAATATCAACTACAGTTGAACCTGTCTATCTCAAATCTCATGGGAATGAGAGAAGAAATTAAAGATAAACAAGTTTAAAGATATGGTGGTTCCTACACAGTAAATAGTGCAGTTAATAGGTTTAATTGGTGGTAAAATGTTTTATTAATACAATAGCAAGTACAACACCCCTATATTAAATATAAATAAAACATTTTTGACATACCTTAACAGAAATAATTTGTCAATAGTTTCTAGTGCCTGATTTTCTTTAACCAATAAGACCCGAACCAAACTCAGCCAATCAGAGAAAAGCAGCATTAATTGCAACTATGTACTGTTTGCAAGAGATGTTTCTTAACTGCAACTTTTTGCTATCAAAATGTAGTTGCCAAACTTTGAATTTGTAATCAGCACTTCAGTTCATAATTTGAGAGAGGTGTTTCGGGAGAAAATTATTTGAGATAAACAGGGATAAAATATTGAATTTAAGCTGAAAATGCAGGGGAAAAAATAAATTTTAAGATAAACATGTTTGAGATACAGGTTCAACTGTGTTTCAAAATTTGATGCCATGAACATCTTGAAGAATAACTAAATTCTTCAAATATTTTCTTGATATACTAACTTAAGAGAAGACCTACATGATTATTAATAAGTTTAGTAAAAATTTTCCTTAGCCAACTTTTATTTGTAATTCACAGCAAGATTTCTATTTACAAACTGAAGCTTTTAAATATAAAACTGTTGTTAGACCAATCCAACAAAATCAACAACTGATTCCAACTACTCATTCTTTCTGCATTATTTTTAGTTTATATCTTGTTTTGTCCTCTCATGTTTTCAAGGACCTTTTAAAGAGTTAATCTTTGTTCAGAAAAATCTTTATATTTCATTTTTTCTTAATTTTAGCTTATCCAAACTGTTTTCATTTTATCTGTGTTAAATGTTATTTATTGAAACTATTAATATAGCATACAGGTATATCATTATTCATATCTATAGTAGTATTAGTTGAGTAAAATGTAAATGTTCGGAATAATATTAAGTCACTTAACATTAGTAGTAGTTGCCAAAATTTTGTTAAGATTATGTGAAGTTTAGAATACATGTGACTTATACTTTAGACAAACTCATCACATAATTTGGAAACCCTTGTATATAAAATATTTGTCATAAACAGTATTAAAAAGAATAATTTTTTCTAGTTTATATGATTAAAACTTACATGAATTTATAGAAAAATAAATGATTATTTTTGTTTTTTGTTTTTATTAACCAGTTTTAATTTTGTTAAAAAAAATTTTTTTTTGTTAGACATGATTTTATTAATATATTTAAGATTGTGCTTTTTAGCATTGTTTATAATAGAAAAGGATTTTAAGCATTTGATTTTTTTTTTTTTTTTTTCAGATAAATGTGGTGATTTACCTAATCCAGCTCATACAAAACCTCTTCGTGATCAATCACCTCCATTTGAAGTAGGCACAAAATTGACATTTGATTGTAAAATAGGATTTGTAGATTCAGGCATTAAATCTACAGCTGAATGTATACTTGAAAACAATAATGCAGTATGGGACATAAAATCTACATGCATAGGTATGATGATTATACTGAAATAATAATATATATTTATTTATTTATAAAAATTATCAATCAGTATAGAAAAATTTTGCTTATTTTAGTTTAAATAAGTAAAATGTTAAATAAATGTATTCAGAGATCAGAGGGCGTATGTGTCCCTTCAGTGATTTCTCTGGAAATTCAAAAAATTTTGCCACTTGATTTTTATTGCCACATTGAAATCTTCCTTTTACTCATTATTCTGTAAAAATTGAATTTTTTTACTTTTGCATTTATTACATTGATTTTCTTCATAATAGCTAGCATCTTATTTTAACTTCTTCACCAGAAAATGGCAGGGATGCAAAATATTTTCAAGATCCAAAATTTTTCCCAAAATTATTGTACACTAGTGTCCAGAATAAAGCCATATTTTAGGAATAAATTAATAATAATTACTACTAAGTTTGAAATTTCAAATTAAATCATACAAATAATTAAATAGACCTACCATATAATTTGCCACACAACACTAATAAATTAAAGCATTTTTGTTTAATTGAAAAAAAAAATGCTTTAATTTCATCATAGGATAGCATATACAATTATAAACTTGATGTAATATGTTGATTCATAGATATAAAATTGAAGTCATCACCCAATGCCACAAATGATCTATTTTTAACATGGGGTTAACTTTTTTTACATCCATAACTGCAAACTTTCACAACACTGGTTGTGAAATTTTTCTGAAAAATTATTTGAGAAAGACACCATTTTTTCAAACAAACTGTTTGATTGCTTTATTATTATTATTATTATTATTATTATTATTTATTTATTTATTCAGAAAACAAACATATTTTTATGNCAAAATTATTGTACACTAGTGTCCAGAATAAAGCCATATTTTAGGAATAAATTAATAATAATTACTACTAAGTTTGAAATTTCAAATTAAATCATACAAATAATTAAATAGACCTACCATATAATTTGCCACACAACACTAATAAATTAAAGCATTTTTGTTTAATTGAAAAAAAAAATGCTTTAATTTCATCATAGGATAGCATATACAATTATAAACTTGATGTAATATGTTGATTCATAGATATAAAATTGAAGTCATCACCCAATGCCACAAATGATCTATTTTTAACATGGGGTTAACTTTTTTTACATCCATAACTGCAAACTTTCACAACACTGGTTGTGAAATTTTTCTGAAAAATTATTTGAGAAAGACACCATTTTTTCAAACAAACTGTTTGATTGCTTTATTATTTATTATTATTATTATTATTTATTTATTTATTCAGAAAACAAGCATATTTTTATGATGTTTTAAAATTACACAATGCACAAAACCAACACCAGCACTATGAAAAGAAAAAATTTACTAACATTTTCGTCTACATAAAAATAGACATCATCAGGTAAAAACGATATAGAACAAAATGGCAAACAAAAATCAAATGCTTTTTTTTTTCAGATGTTCCAACTGATTATGTAATTAGAATACATTGCATTTAAAATTTATATGTTATGTTTGGGATATCATTTCAAAATATGTATATTATTTAAATGATAAACAAATAAATAATCAATCAATCACCAATGCAAAGATTACACGATGGACAAACACCTTCAAAATGATACCTGACATTGAGAAAATGATTGAAGGACTAAATCACATTACTAAGAAATATTTTAGATGGAAGACAATGATGACAATTTGCAATAGACAGGACAATATTTTGTTCAGGACCCTCTGGCCATCTATCAGGGTGTCTAGATGATGGTTGAATCATACCGCAGTGCTATAGTACAACATATCTCAGACACGGAATGCACAATAGCGCCTTGTGGTTTCCTTGAAAATAATAACTGCCAAGGTTTTGAAGATCTCTAACACTCCCCTTGCTAATATTTTGAATCTGTCCTTAACGAGAGTTATGGCACCGACCCTGCCACGCATCTTTGCATTTGCAAAAACTCATAAGATTGGCCAACAGTTATATACAGTAGTGGATAAAACTACAACTCCCACTATTAAAATGGAGAGACTACTTAACAAATATATCAATTGGAATCTAGAGGAACATATATTACACTCTCACTAATCCAGAACAAGTACTTCAAAAACTACGAGATCTTAACAATTCAATGGTGGCATATGCGACTATGGCAATGCTTCATAGTCCCATAGTGTGAACTATTGTAAGTTCGCCGATTTTGGGGGCAATACGTTAATTGCGCGTCAGGAAAACCTAGGGTCAAACCGTATGTGGGTGGTGGCGGTAGGAGACAGAGATGACAAGTGTCTTACACGAAAACCGTTTATTTTGACATGAAGTTAACTTACACAACAGGAATAACAAAATAAGTTCGTTGGCCGGCTGAGGTTTCGCTTCTTCTGTGCCCCGGGGCTCAATGAGGTAGCTACTGACGATCTTGCGTCCTTGATGCGAGTTCAGGTGTCCGATGATGCGGCGGTGCTCGGCGGTTATGGCGTTCTGGATGCTGGGGGTCCAGTGCACGGCTGAGACTCGGCTATCCTGACCTCTTGAGTATGTGTCCGTGTGCTGCGGGCCTGGCGTCTTGGAGAGAATCTGCCCCGTGTCCTTGAGATTCGGGGGTTTTATAAGATTTTCCCCGAATCTCACCCTTTTGATTGGTCCCTTTCACCCTCTCCCTTACTCCGATTGGTCATTCCTTTGTTTCTAGGCGAAACCCGAGACCGATTCGGGTCGGGAAAAGGTCGGAGAGGTGATGACGGTCCTTTAACGTTCGCGCTCGTATTTTACTCCGTTATGTCCCTTTTCTCTGTCATCTTGGAACCCAAACGGTTCACCAGATGTTCTTGTGGCCATTTATCCCCTACCGCGTTCTTACTTCACAGATATCCCTTTTGTTCTTAGACCCCCCTTTCTCCCGCTTGCTTCGACCCGATATTTGTTCGCGCGCATCCCGACAAAGCTCTCCCTCTCTCTGTCGACATTCCCCCCTGTTATTTATCGTCGCGTCGCGTTTGTTTTACAATTTGAGAAAGTTTTCGTCTCATCTGGGCTTTGTCACTAACACATCTCCTTGACCCGATTCTGTCTTCGAAACTTCCTGACGTTAAAGTTTGTAATTAGTCGAAATTTCTACGCGCTTTTACGACCCTCACACTATGTGACTATGAAGCATTGTTCCTGTCTATAAAACTTGAACCCTGTTTATGCAAGCTGAGAGATTTTCTTCTGGTAAAGGTGAAGGGTGCTTATAAATATCTCCCTGATGTGTTAGATCTAGCACACTTGATGGTGCACTCTTCCTTCTTAGAGTACAAAGATGTCACTTACCCACAGACAAGAGGTGTACCTATGGGTAGCCCAATATCAGGAACTCTGTGTGAATTAGTGGTCATAAAGCACAAGAATGCCATATTACCTAAATTTCATGAGGATATGGCATTGTATGTCAGATACATTGATGACATTCTCATAGTATGGAACAAAATACTGACCTTGACTTGGTACTTAGATAACCCCTATGGCCTGTCATTAAGGGTTGAACAAGAGAGTCATACGATTGTACATTTTTTGGATATCAACATCAAAATGGAACAGTGTCATTTTTTCACATGTGTTTTCCATAAAGAGTCATATTCACCTCTATACCTAACAATTCACATGATCCTTATTGTTACAAAGTTTCTGCTTTTTAATCTCTGGTAGAAAGGACCCACAGGCATTTTTTGGAGCAGAGTGAAAAGAAAAACAAATTGTCTTGATCAAGTCCCTGGCAACACAACATGGATACCCGTCCTCTTTGGTCAAATATCTCATAAAGCAATATCTAAGTAAGGTAAACAGAACTGTTCTACAAGAATAACAAATGAGTTATCACATACAACGAAACACGAGATAGAGATAAAAATTGTCAGGACTACTAAGGTGCACTTCGCATATTGGTGCATTCCGACAACTTTTCACTCATCAAAAATGATAAAAACAATATACATGACTCCTACTCTCCAGGAGTTTACACAATACCTGTTTCTGACAATCAAGTCAACCACTTATTAATATATATTGGAGTGACAACAAGAGGTCTGGCCATGAGGATGAAGGAGCATGAATATTCTATAAGAAAAAAGCTGTCAACTACAACATTAGCGACGTATACGGGTAGTGATGATGTGTGAGTTGAACTGCAGGTTGTAAAATTGTTACACAGGGTTTCAGATAGAGCATAACTTAAATTCCAACTGTATCCAGGTATTTATCAAGCAATTAAACAGGGAGTTGCTATTAATTTCAAGGAAGTGGACACACTGTCCACAGCATGGTGTGCCATTTTTGAACTAGATTCTGACAAACTCGCATTAAGGTTAATTTAAATTACATGTGATATTTATGTCATAATAATTTATGTGAAATTAATTGATTATTTATTTGTTTATCATTTAAATAATATACATATTTTGAAATTATATCCCGAACATAACATAAATTTAAACGTAATGTATTCTAATTATGTAATCAGTTGGAACATCTGAAAAAAGCATTTGATTTTTGTTAGCCATTTTGTTCTGTATTGTTTTTACCTGATGTCTATTTTCATATAGACAAAAACATTGCTAAATTTTTTTTCATAGTGCTGGTGTTGGTTTTGTGCATTGTGTGTTTATATAATCTCAGTTTCAGATGATACTGTTATAAAATTTTATAACAGTATCATCTGAAACTGAGATTATATAAACACACAATGCACAAAACCAACACAAAATATTAACATTGAAATATATCTATGAAAAAAAATTTGAAAACTAAAGGAAAACATGTTTATAAAATTATAATAAAAGTTTTGTTTAGGTATTTGAGATAATTCAGAAAAATATTTTAAATGCAGTTTAGTAATTTGCAAATTTTTCATGCTGAAAAAAAATATTTTTTTTAATTCAAGCTGTCACAAAACTTCACTTATCATTTTTAAAATAGTGTCAAAGAAGGTTTTGAAATAGTGTTTTTCAGGTTTTTTTAAAGCTTGGTTTTGATTTTTACACAAAAAACCAAACCAAGCTCTTTTTTTTGTAAGAATCAAAACCATAGTTTGGTAACAGAGATTGACTCATCCTTAATGCAAGCACATAGCCATGTAAGTAGACAGCACTTTAACCAAACTGAGTAGAAATAAACATTCCAGTTTCACTTTTAAAACATAAAATTCCTGCATTTTGGCAAATTTCTCCAATTAATATTTGTAAGATTAGCTGAAATGCTACTTCATCTTATTGTAAATTTTTTGCAATTTTTCTATTGCAAATTTTCCAAAACTGGTTAATTTCTCTCAAATCTCATTTGCATAATTAGATATGGTCTGCACTTGTGGAAAATATTTCTTTCATATATCTGTTAACGCTAAAGCTCGAACTCCGTTAATGTGCACATTACCTAGCTAATCTGCAGATTAACTAGGGTGATCCGTTAAAGCTGCAAAAATTATTCCATTTCTCAAATTACCTAGGTAATGTTCAGATTATCTAGGTAATCTGCAAATTACCTACTAGGCACTCGGTAAAGTGAAAATAAGATTTTTGCTGGAACAACAGCAACGTTTCTGTACGCTTAAATTAACATAATGTTATTTATTTAATTTTCAATATCTAAAGAATCAAGTTAATACAATCAACAAATTAGTTGATTGAATCAATCATCAATCAATTAAAAAAACTTTAATACAAAAATCAAACGGTTTAAAATATTACTACAATTAGGGAAATGAATTTGCAAAACATATGATAAAATTGTACTTACTTATTAGTGCAATCTAAAGATTGGTGACACTTTGAATTACGTAGCAATTGGTTTTTGCGACAAGCACGCCTATTTGTGGTACATTTAGATTTGCAGTCACATTTTCTGAAACCCTGCCCAGTACCAAGGGATTGTTTTATTGCTGTTTGACGTAAAGATATTTCTACAGCAGGGACATCCATCTTCTTTCGTTAAAAATCTCTCTTTGCAAACACTGAATTCAGATTTTGCATACAATTGTTTTAAAATACCTGTTTTAGTATCAAGTTTATAAAAGCCATCCTCTGTTTTACTAAGAACCACAGCTAAAATTGAACGTGCATCAGTTTTTGCTCTGTCTTCTTCGGGTACTTTAATTCTCACAGCGAAACCTTCATCGACGTTTGGGTGCTTTGCATTAGAAACTGCTAACATTTTCTTTGCTTGCTTTTCTAAACATTTCTTGGCTTCATCACGCTGTATTTTCTGATCCATATTCTTTTTACAGATGATGCACAATACATTCTTACCATACCCTTCCTCTTTAGGATCTACTTCACCACAAACTGCGTGAACAAACATATTACACGATTTACACTTGTGAGCACTTGATGCTGCTTTTGAGCAAACAATACAGACTATGTCTTGTATAGTGCTCTTTACAGGCTCCGTACGAAACTGTGATGGCGATTCTGCTGAAGTTGAGAGTAACTCAGTGATGACTTCTTCAACTTGCAGAGGCGATTCCTTGGAGGTGCAGGGTAACTGAATATTCTTCGTGACTGCATCATCAATCAACGGTATAGAAGGCAGTTTAAGATTACTATCGGTAAATTCTTGTATTTCTATAGGTGATTCTGTAGAAGCGGGGGATAACGGAATGTCCTCTTGAGTAAGATTTGACTGTGATCTCATAATCACAGTCTCTTGTGAATCTTCTAATTTTTCAAGGTCTTCTTCAGTTTTTATCGAATGTCAAACAATTCTCCGGCATGGACAAACTTTTTCAAACCTTTCTCGCGCATCTGACAACGGCTCAATGAGTTTTTCACAGCCTCGTACAGTCAACACATCACACCTTTGAATTATTTGATAATCTCGAGATGATTCTTTCTTCTTGGAAACTTTTATTTGCTTTACATCTTCAATTATGGAATCATACTTTGGTTTGTTATTAAAACACTACGTATTATATTTTAAATCTTCGCTAAAGAGGTTTGCGAAGAATCTTTTCTTGATTTTACTCGTTAATTCGGTGCTTGCTTGCTTGCATTCTAGGATTTAAATTTATCTACGTAAAAAGTAGTAGTGGGGAAAGGAAGTGAAAGAAACAAACTTTTGAACTTTAACGATACGGAAGCCGTTAATGTGCAGATTACCTAGGTAATTTGAGAAATTGAACAATTTTCGCAGCTTTAACGGATCACCCTAGTTAATCTGCAGATTAGCTAGGTAATGTACACATTAACGGATTTTGAGCTTTAGCGGTAACATATCCAGTAGTACAGATTTCATAATTTTTCTAAGTTTTACAAGGATATGTGGAATTTTTATCTACATTGATTTGATTTTGAAAATTAATTGAACTAAATTACATTTTTTTCAAAATTACTATAGTATAAAATTAATATTTTTTGAATTTGTATTTACAAATATCTGGTAATCAGTCAGCATAAATGAATTTTTGATTACTTCCAAGGCATGAATTAAATTGAATATAAAATTTATCTAATTGATTAGAAAATGGTGCTCCATGCATTTCTTTTTATTGAAAAGAAATGCATGCATCAAGTACCTATATAATAAGTGACATATCATAAATTATTATTCCTCTATAATGTCATATGCACTTGGTAATAGGCTTCCTGACATACACATTATGCCAAGGTGTGGTAAGCTTCCTTGCGTATTTCATGTGTGCTCCAAAAAGTGTACTTGCAGTTTTATTATTATTGAAAACAAAACCAAAACTTTGTTTCATTTTCATTTGTCTTTTTTTGTTTTTTTTTATAAGTGAATTTCTAACATTATAAATTATACACCAAATGTGTTAGTGGGCTGGGTTTGGATTTGGGCTACAGTTTGAGCATCATTTGATATAAGTTATAGATGATTTATTGTGTTATAATTTTTCTTTTTGTATATTGTCTTTTGTAAAAATTATTAAATTATTAGGAGAAGTAAGAAATAAATTATTTAATTCTTCCTAATTTATAAATAATTTATTTTTTAACTTTTTAATAACATTTTAAGACTCTGATCATGAAACAAATTGCTTTGGCTTAAATTTCTTTCGTATAACTAATGGAATGGAGTTTGTATATTGTAAAAAAAAAGAACTAATAAAATATTGTAATTTGCTTTCCTTGATTTATTTTTGCCCTTTCTAAGTAGAAGTAATTTTTTTTTATATAAAATATGAATTATAAAAGGGTATATAAAGATAATGGTTAACAGGTCAGAATCAAAAGTTTGATTAGTTCAGATTTCTTTCATATTTTTCCATTGTATAAAGAAAATTTAACTTTTCTACCTTTGAATGAAATTTTCATCAAATGATAATTTGCATATGTTCTTATGAACCAATTTATTTAAAATAGTTTATAATAATAATTTTTATGATTGCAGGTGTAACTTGTGGGTATCCTGGAGATATAGAAAATGGCCAAAGAATTGGTGATATTTTTAGATTTCCAGAAAATATTACATACGTATGCAATCCTGGATATAAAATTAGAGGTAGAGCTGTTAGTTACTGTGGTACTGATGGACAGTGGACAGATCCTCCTCCAAAATGTATCAGTAAGTTTAAATCCATTTATAAAGTAATCTTCACTATCATTAGTTTTTGTCTGAGTGCAAATGACAAGGTTGGGAACCCCTGCTGTACAATTAAATTTGTATGTGCACTTTTTAACATAGAAGTTTCAATCTATATATACATATATATATATAAAATTACATGTCCTGACTGACTGACTCATCATCACCCACAGCAAACGGTTAGGAGTTGAAATTTGGTACACAGTTAGTGCACATCATGAGAATGCACACTAAGAAGGGATTTTTCAATATCCCCCCCATGGGAGAGGGAGAGGATTAAAGCTTATCCTGAAGAACAGCTTCTACTGTACTATTTTAGACGTGATTTTTTTTTGCATGTTTGCAGAAAATCTAACATATCTTTGACCATCTAAAAATTCTTTAATTAGTCTCAGAAGAGGGAGACCTAATTCATGCACTCAGTGAAAACAGGTAAGATTGGCTATAATCTAATTATCTTAATCTTCGCTATCATTACTTTTTGTCTGAGCAATGCCAGGCTTATCTGCTAGTTTAATATATGTACAGGTAACCCCGTATAACACGGCACTTCTATAGCATGGATTCACTCTAACACAGTTTGAAAATTGGTACCATCCCCCGTATAACACGGTACTTTTATAGCACGGATTCACTCTGACACGGTTCGAGAATTGGGTAAAACCCTCGTACAACGAGAAATGTAATAAATTTTTACATACTTAAGTAATAATAGTTCATGAAAGTTATTATTTTCGTGAACTATTAGTACTTAAGTATGTAAATTTGCTCTTCTCGCCTTTTGTTGATACACGTGGTCTTTCTCAAAACTTGTTTCAATGTTGCCAGATCGTGATGCTTCTGCTTCTGATGTTGCCGAATGTTTTTCCCTTATTCCATACTTGCTTTNATCACACCTTTGAATTATTTGATAATCTCGAGATGATTCTTTCTTCTTGGAAACTTTTATTTGCTTTACATCTTCAATTATGGAATCATACTTTGGTTTGTTATTAAAACACTACGTATTATATTTTAAATCTTCGCTAAAGAGGTTTGCGAAGAATCTTTTCTTGATTTTACTCGTTAATTCGGTGCTTGCTTGCTTGCATTCTAGGATTTAAATTTATCTACGTAAAAAGTAGTAGTGGGGAAAGGAAGTGAAAGAAACAAACTTTTGAACTTTAACGATACGGAAGCCGTTAATGTGCAGATTACCTAGGTAATTTGAGAAATTGAACAATTTTCGCAGCTTTAACGGATCACCCTAGTTAATCTGCAGATTAGCTAGGTAATGTACACATTAACGGATTTTGAGCTTTAGCGGTAACATATCCAGTAGTACAGATTTCATAATTTTTCTAAGTTTTACAAGGATATGTGGAATTTTTATCTACATTGATTTGATTTTGAAAATTAATTGAACTAAATTACATTTTTTTCAAAATTACTATAGTATAAAATTAATATTTTTTGAATTTGTATTTACAAATATCTGGTAATCAGTCAGCATAAATGAATTTTTGATTACTTCCAAGGCATGAATTAAATTGAATATAAAATTTGTCTAATTGATTAGAAAATGGTGCTCCATGCATTTCTTTTTATTGAAAAGAAATGCATGCATCAAGTACCTATATAATAAGTGACATATCATAAATTATTATTCCTCTATAATGTCATATGCACTTGGTAATAGGCTTCCTGACATACACATTATGCCAAGGTGTGGTAAGCTTCCTTGCGTATTTCATGTGTGCTCCAAAAAGTGTACTTGCAGTTTTATTATTATTGAAAACAAAACCAAAACTTTGTTTCATTTTCATTTGTCTTTTTTTGTTTTTTTTTATAAGTGAATTTCTAACATTATAAATTATACACCAAATGTGTTAGTGGGCTGGGTTTGGATTTGGGCTACAGTTTGAGCATCATTTGATATAAGTTATAGATGATTTATTGTGTTATAATTTTTCTTTTTGTATATTGTCTTTTGTAAAAATTATTAAATTATTAGGAGAAGTAAGAAATAAATTATTTAATTCTTCCTAATTTATAAATAATTTATTTTTTAACTTTTTAATAACATTTTAAGACTCTGATCATGAAACAAATTGCTTTGGCTTAAATTTCTTTCGTATAACTAATGGAATGGAGTTTGTATATTGTAAAAAAAAAGAACTAATAAAATATTGTAATTTGCTTTCCTTGATTTATTTTTGCCCTTTCTAAGTAGAAGTAATTTTTTTTTATATAAAATATGAATTATAAAAGGGTATATAAAGATAATGGTTAACAGGTCAGAATCAAAAGTTTGATTAGTTCAGATTTCTTTCATATTTTTCCATTGTATAAAGAAAATTTAACTTTTCTACCTTTGAATGAAATTTTCATCAAATGATAATATGCATATGTTCTTATGAACCAATTTATTTAAAATAGTTTATAATAATAATTTTTATGATTGCAGGTGTAACTTGTGGGTATCCTGGAGATATAGAAAATGGCCAAAGAATTGGTGATATTTTTAGATTTCCAGAAAATATTACATACGTATGCAATCCTGGATATAAAATTAGAGGTAGAGCTGTTAGTTACTGTGGTACTGATGGACAGTGGACAGATCCTCTTCCAAAATGTATCAGTAAGTTTAAATCCATTTATAAAGTAATCTTCACTATCATTAGTTTTTGTCTGAGTGCAAATGACAAGGTTGGGAACCCCTGCTGTACAATTAAATTTGTATGTGCACTTTTTAACATAGAAGTTTCAATCTATATANTTAATTTTTGGAACCTAACCCTCCTTTTCGTATTAGTTCTTTGTTTCGTATAACATGGATTCGCATAACACGGCAATTTTTTGGAACGTAACTACCGTGTTATACGGGGGTTACCTGTATATGTAACATTTGAACAACATACAGCAGAGGAAAACTAAAACGAAAGTTTTGTTTTGAATTTTTTTCCCTTCACTTGTTGTTTTGTCACATACTGGTAGTTTTACATCAATTGTCTCCTCCTGTTGAAACTTCAGTTACATGAACGAATGAAGAGTCATTCTAAAAATTAACTTGCACTGACAGCAAAAGGTCAGAATAATGAAAACAAATGAGAAACTAGAAAGCAATTTTTTATTTGCTTGGTGAAATTTGTTTTCACTCTACAAAACAAGAAAATCAAAAAATTTCACTATGTTGGACTGATGGAAAGATTTGCTAAAGATGCAAATTCATCAGAAACAATATTACATATTATATATTATTCACTCTGTTTTTACTTTCCTGGTTCTGTTATATATAACAGAGGGAATGTACGTGTTCAGTCAAATAATGACCCCAAAGATTTATTTTTACGTTTTTGGACTCAGGACCTTGAAACATCAAAAAATTCAAAAAAATTTGGGGTTTTTTTTCTGTATGTATAGATGTTTGTGTGTGTATGGCATGATTTTGTTCATCCTCTTTAAAGCTTAACTCCTGTGCTTTTTGTCAAAAATTTCTGAAATTTTGCAAGGAGGTTTATGTATTAGGGGATTGATGCTATTAAATTTTGGTAGTTAAAGGTCAGTGGGGTGGAGGAGATGAAGGGGATCGTGTGTTATATCTTGAGTAGAGTCGGACTTAATGACAATTTTACTCATTATTAATGCAATTTTTTATAAAACCTTTCCCTACCCTGAAAATTGAGCTTTTTGCCATTTTATAATAATTAAAAATATAAAAAGTTTTTAATACAGTAGAGCCTCGATTATCTGACTCAATTGGGAACTGGGGTTGGTCGGATAATTGAAAAGTCGGATAACCGAAAAGTATGAAAAAATCCATTATTAGTGTAGTATATTATTATATCCTATGTAATTAGTATATCGCTATTAACCTACTTCGTGTTGAATTTTCATCGATGTTAAGTCTAACAAAAATTTTTTTAAATAATAATCGTTGCTATTGTATCATTAAAAATTAGAAAATTAAGTGTTGTTTAAATACTGGCTCCCTTTCATGGTCGAATGAGTGTTGCCAGCTAAAACACGTAAAAATAATATTAAAATAGCCAAGACAGCCAAATATTGTAGCGCCACATTACTAGCGGACATTTGAAATTTGCCACTAGGACGGTCGGTTAACTGAGGTGTTGATTAATCGGGGTTCGGATAATCGAGGCTCTACTGTAATAAAATATAATATATGGCATCACAACACGTGCAGTTTTAAATATTGCTGGGAAAGTTAAGAAACTTGTTGCTGGAATTTTTGCATATGCTGACAATTTGCAGTCAGTATGAACTAATCTGAAGTGAATATATAATTTGCTTTTTTTACTTTTTAAAAAATCTCTTTAATATACATATGTCTCTTTAATCTGAAAAATCACAAGAATTCCGGTAGACTACCTTATAGCCTTTAGGTCAGGAATGTCCTTTATTGAAGATACAGGTTACATTGATCAATAAATTTCACATAATGTTTATAATGAAAGGGAGAGAAAATATAAAACTAGTGTTGATAAATTGAAAAAAACAGGTATTGTATATAAAATTAATTGTAAGGTGTCAAAACCCAAAAGATTATATAGGTGAAACAGATAGGACTTTAGAGTTAAGAATTAAGGAACACGAAGCAGCGATAAGGTTAAAATATAATTAGTGATGTAATATGATGTAGTAGTAGTGTGTATATGTGTATATATATCTTATTTTAACTATTTATTTTTTATATATAATTTTATTATTATTTTATATTATTGTAATATATTATATATAATTTTATTATTGTTTTATATATATTATATATGAATAATATATATACAGTAGAGCGTTGTTTATTTGAATCAATTGGGGACTGGGGTTGTTCGGATAACTTATTTTTCGGATAACCGATTATGTACGAAAAAATACATTAACCTATCCTGTGTTGAAATTTTTCTCCGTTGCATGTTGCTTCGCATTGAATTTTCGTCAATGTTAAGCCTAACGTAAACTTTTTAAAATAATAATTGTGGCTATTGTATCATTAAAAATTATTTCTTTATTTTGTACAAACAAAATAAATATATTGAAAAATATAAAAACAA